ATCCTAAAAGGTACTCAGTGATGGAGCCCATTCAACCAGCCAGCCTCTGGACAGGGCTGAACCTAGAGGGCAGGCTTTTATGATTTTACTGCTGCACTTAAGTAGCTCTCTGATTTGCCCTAATCTGGGTACAAATCTCTCTCTAGTGTGGCTGATTCATTGGCATCTTCCCTCGCAGTGCTACCCCGTGTGAATTTACCTGGGTTTCATAAGCACTAATTTTCCCTCACAATTGAATAAGCAGTAGTATGAAGGGGCAAAGGAGAGTAAACTGAGGTCCCACATCCATGGAGGCATATGGCAGGGCCTTTGTGAGGAACACCTGCAAGGTAAACCCTCTGTCACTTTTCCAGTCATGCTCTAAAGTATCCACCAATTGGGTTTCTTGTAAAGAAGAAACCAAACTACACCATAAAATGGCTTAAAAATTGTCTATATGCAGCAGCTAACCCATACTATGAAATATGAACTCAAATTTCAGATCATGTTTTACTTATTTGCTTAAAATCAAATCAGACTAAGATCAGAATGCTGCTCAAATAAGAGAAAACATTTCTAATTGGATAGTCATTAAGAAATATCTTGTGTGCTAATCAGTCAGACTCAAATGAGTCTGCCAAACACAGAAGAAACTGTACTAAAATATATGTGAGGAGCACTATTTCCTCTATTGTGCATGACTAGAGTATTTTTGTTTTTCTCTTTTAAAACATACAGTCAAGAAATAACAGCCAAGACATTAACAAACTGGTTATAGGAAGTTGCTTGGGTTCTTTAACAGAATGACAGTATTAGTGATTTTGTTAACATACATAAAATCTGGTAGTATGCAAACATTTCCCAAACGTATATATCAATTTACATTTTTTGTTATCTTTTCTTATATTTTACTCATAAGATCTTTTTATATTTTAGATAATCGAGACTAAGGATTTGAAAAAATTATTGAGGAACACATCTCTGAAATGTTAAAATACTGAATACTACAAAGATCTCAGCCTGCTGCTAGAAGAAAATTTGAAAAAGCCAGCAAAATTGGAAGAGGTTCTTATCAAAATATTGGGGGGCAGAAATTGAAGACTTAATAAGAGTTCAGCCATTGCTCTCAGAGAGCCATCCTCCTTGCATCCTGCTTCTCCAGGTCTCTGGCTTCTCCCGCTGCAGCACTGCTAGGTGTGAGTAAATGCTACCTTGTGGTTTCAAAAGAAGAGAGACCTGGGCTATGCTATTCCAGTGAGTGAGTGAGTGAGTGAGTGAGTGTGTGTGTGTGTGTGTGTGTGTGTACGTACACAGGGGTTCCTTTATAGGTGATTATAAATTCCAATGATAAAGTCGTAGTAAAGTTGAGCTTTGTTGATTTTGATGGTGAAGCAATGAAGGCATTAAACAATCGATGGGGAAACAACCATAAGATTTCATTAAAGTTAAATGTCTTTTTTGACGCCTTATTAAATGCAACAAAAGTTACACCTGGTGTATCTCCTGCATTCTGTTCTTAATTCAACTACAACTGCATGTGTTGGGGACAGGGATTGGGGAAGCAATTCTGCTTCTTAATTTAGATTTGTGTGTGCATCTGCCTCTTTTCTCCATGAATCTTAGAGTAGGAAAGGGCATTAGAAGTTATCTGGTCTGAGGAACTGTTGGTTTCCATAAATGTACCTACGCTTTCTGTTGGAATCCTAATGGCAGGGCACATAATATTACAAGGTAGACAGCAATCATTTAAAACATTCCTCTTCTGTTTATTTAAAATATGACTTCCTGTAACTTTAGTTTTACTTTCTATATGTTAAAAAAAAAAAGTTGATAGACATTCCATGACTGCCTTTCCAAGTAACTGAAATTAGCTATCTATCCTGTCCTCTCCAAATTTTGTTTTTTTCCATATTCAACACATGCTCTATCTCTCATCAGTCCTCATGGGAAGGTTTCTCAGATCACTCACCATCCTATAACTCTCTCCCAAATAAGCTCAAGTAGAATTCACTGTTGTTATTCAATAGCTACCATTTATCAAGAACATGCGACATCCCAGACAATGTTCAAATAAATTATCAGCTTTAATGTTCTCAATAATGCCTTTTTGAGGCAAGTATTTTCACTCCCGTTTTTCTGATGAGGAAAATGAGGTTCAGAAAGTTTAAGGAAGTAACTTAGAATCATGGGTTACAAGGAGACAATTTCATTTTTGCACCCCAGTCTGGTGGTTTTGGAGCATTCCTATCACGTGTGAACTAAACAAGACACCACGAGGTGACCTCTGCAGCACAGGGAACTCACTGCCTTCGGTAAACCAAATGCTACAGCTTCCACTGAAGCAGCCTGTGACTATGTGAATGTGTCTGACAGCTACACCGCTCAGGTGGTTTGTGTTGAGTTTGTAATTGACTTAAATCCAAAGATGAGTTTCACCGAAACTGTCATTAAGTCAGACCACCCCTTCCCCCAAACACATTTCTATTTTGCACTTGATCTTTAAAATTGGACGTTTTACCTCCATGCCTACTGAACATTATCTTGCTACTTTGCTTCAATGTTCCACACCGTCCACTTTGCAAGAAACCTGGATTCTGACGCACAGGCCATTAGCCACTTTGAAAGCTCTGGATCACTTCAAAAATAATTTTTCTTGGTGCCTTCATCCAAAACTTTGATAAAAACGTATTTTAAAGAAGAGCAAAAACTGAAGGATCTCTTCCCTAGTATAAAGTTTTTCATCCTCTGTTTATCTGTTACACCCCATTACCTTGCCAGCCAAGGTTTATGTTCCACCGTTTGTATCTAAAGAGGCATTTTGAATATGCTTTGTCAACTAGCATCTTATCCCCACCTTGAGAACCACAATGCTGATTCACGACCATTTTTCTTATTCAACTAGTCAGCTACAAATAAATCCATTTCACTTCACCATGTCCAAATTTCTCCATCTTCTCTACAGTGATGTCAGTATTGAACATATTTTTTTTTTTTACTATCGTGTCTGTTGTAAAACTGAATACATTCTGTTGGCAAAGATTTTGTGTCCCAGACTAAAGTTAATTTTAAGAATCTGTCAAATTTATAAAAATACTTTATTATAAAGGAAAATAACTGACCAACATTGTACTGCCACTCAACATATTCAGTGACATTAGCAGTAACACTGAATTGTATCCAAAGTTAATTATAGATTATCTGTAATGAATTTGAAGAATGAGATACATTAAATTCAGCAAAAAGATCAGCACTACACAAACCTCGGTCAGTCCTGTGGCATTTATTCTCCCCATGTGAAACACTATAAACTTTTTTCTAGCCTCTACTTTAGAAAACTCTGGTAGCTATGAGTAGAGGACTGCCAGGTAACCCTACTTATTCCAGCATATAATATAATCAAACAGAAAGACTCTTTAAAGTTAAGGGGAATAGCTTCTCTTGACTTAGATCAATTTCTCATGAAAATGGATCCACACTGGAAAAATATACAATTTCTCTTAAGGTTATAAAAGTCCTTTAAGCTTCATAATGAAACATAGGTAGGAGTATGTTATTATATATCCTCATTTCCAGAATAAATATCCAAATAAATAACTGAACACTTTGGGCTAAGAAATTAGCCAAAATCGAAGCCAGGAAAATGCAAGAAATGGATCTGTGCAGTTAGGTAGGGTCCTTGGAACATATAGTTCACCCCCTGCAGCATATAGTTCACACATCAATATTTGCAGTTACATGATGATGAAAATTCTATGAATATATATGATAGACTAAATAACTTTTTATCTAATAATTTTCAAAAAAATATTTTCTTATGTTCCTGCAATCTGTAATAATTTAATAACCTAACCCTATTCCCACCCTCACTGACATTATCAACATGAAATGGATTTGAATCTTCTGTTACAAGAAAAGCATTGAGTGAGTGCCTGAGTGCATTATGCAAAATATAATAGGAATGATATGGGGGTTGTAGACAGAGAAAGTGGAGATGAATGAATGTGGGACGTGGGAAATCAGGTGAGCTTCGTGCTGGCTGTGTCATGAGGAAAGAAGAACAGAAATGTGGAACAACATAGGCATACACTGCCCGTGCCTGGGAGCGACTGTCAACACACACAGTGGGAGAGATGAATTGTGTAAGCATGTGGTGGAGGGGCTGGTGTAGAAGGATGTGTGATGTCCCTCTGACAAAAGACAGGGGCTGGAGGTTGGAGGACTGAGGTCTTTGAATGAAAGTCAAATCTGAAATTGAATCATCTTGCTAATAAGAGCAAGCTGCTCTTCCAAGCTGTGGAGAGAAGATGCCATCAGTTGGGTACACGGAGACCTGCTCCCATGGCTTGAGTTCATTCCCCACATGTACTCTCCATGATACTCGGAACACTCAACAGTCACCCATATCAATGGCTAGGCATAGTTGTCTCATTCTCACCGGTTAGCTTGGGCTTGCTAACCATCTTGGACAAAAGTCATTCAACTGTCTTTTCTCTGAGAAGATTTTAGTTTTTTTAACCAAAAGAACATTCAGTTGCAATGCTTACCACAACGTGCATTTTACAAATTACTCACTGTCTAAGCATGAGAAGGACATTCACAGTTCAAATTATCCCATTGCTCCTATGTACAAAAATTTCCAAGCTTCTATCAATAAACAAATAACTTGGCCATAATTTATTCAAATAGAAAAGGTCAAAGTCATTTAAATACTAGCTCATAGCCATGATATTAAAGAAAATTTAATTTTTAAGGCTTCCAGTTTTTTTCCTACCATGGAAGTATTAGAGATTTTTTTAAAGATAATATTTTTCTTTTGATAGTAAAATTGGGCGGGGGGGAATAATATATGTATATTTAGCAATTGCATTCTCTGTTAGAGACTTTGGAAATAATTTTGTATTTAGAAACTGGGTCTGAGTGATTTTCCAGAATTTTGAAAATATAGATATCTTATATGTTTTATGCCAACATTCCCCAGAGCTCAGTATGAGGGACAAAAAAGTTTTAAAATATACACTTACCTCTACATCACAGGTATATTCTGATCCATCCAGAAGTATCACTTTGCACTGCATGCTTTTAGGCTTTTTGACAATCTTTAATGGAGATCGAGAGAGTTTACTGCTAGATGATTTCTGAGAAAGTTTATCGTCTTCAAATTGCTGATATTCGAGCTGTTTTGCAGCTCCAGCAGCAAATTCTCGTTCTTTGTCAGTGACCTGTGAAGAACAAACAATGAATAGTTTTCATTGCAAGACAGAAAATAAACAGTGCATTGCTCAGGCAATACCAGAACACTTTAGCAACAGGCATTTCTATTTCCTAAAGGGTGAGAGACATCTGAATTAGGAAATTAGAAAAGGATACACATACATGGGTATTTATAATTCTAACAGTTTTGCCTAAATAACTTCTGTTGTTTAGATGCACCAATACGGCCTTATTTTAGTTTGACTCAAGATTTACTTTTGAAGCACCGAGTTAGCAAATGCCATCAAGAGTCCACTGAGCAAAGAAGGAAACAAATGGGCTCCCGACTTTTTAAAAGTCATTGGCTAGTATAGATCTTTAAAATAAATCATCTAGATTTTATCTAATGTACTCCATTTTCTTCATTCACTGGATCCTTTTATATTCCATGACCTATATCCACCCCATACACATAAAAAGTATCTTATAAATTTTAAGACCTAGAGAACTCCAAGTATTAATCTCAATAATTTTATAACTGTTAAAATATTTGATTTAGCTCTAAAGCAATTCAATGAAGCCAGCAGCACTGAAATTCATCAAAAGTAATCCTCTAAGTCTGCTTCCCCTCATTGTAATGAGCTGGTATAAGAACAAATCAAATCTATCCAAATGCTTTAATCTGCTTTCAAATCACAACAGTCTAGCCCATACTAAACTCAGAACTGTAGAAGATGTCCTATGCAACAATAAAATTCTCCCTGAATCAATCTCCTTGGAAATGTCCCTGTGCACTGCTGTCGAATCTTTACACCCCTCTTCCATCTATTAAATGACCATCAAAGGTATCAGTACAAATTCAACTCATAGGCCAGACTATCATTGCATTCCTCCAATAACAGTCCCAAGAAAAATAGGTTCCCAAATTCAGTTTAGTCCCTTGAATAATTATGAAATTTCCTCTCTCATGAACATACTATCGTCTTAGTAGTTAAAAGTACATGGGCTTGAGAATAAACATAGTGTTGACAGCTTATCATTTCAACTTTTTTTTTCTTTATTAGTCTCTATAATTTTACAACACACAGAGCTATTTTTCAGTATTTTTATTTTAGATTTTAGGTATAGATTTCTGTGTTTCGAATGGCGTTTTCCATCTTGTTTTCTATCTAGAAGGTGACAAATGCAGTCCTTTCCTCTACTACATTGCCCAGGAATTCAAGGCAGTCTTGAGAAGTTCTTAAGAATAAAAAGACACCAATTTACTGAGCAAAGAAACCAAGAAAAAAATTGAATAACCAACTTCAAAGGCCAAAGTAGTTGAGAAAGCAAGCCTCAGCTAAAACAAATAAAACCTGTCTGAAAGGGTCCAACTTTTTTTTTGACTGTTAGTCTTTCCATAGTAAAGCATTAAAACAGTACAAAAAGTCAAAAAACATCAATTTTAGCCATAAGGTGTTTTAAAAGTTTGGTAACCTTGGAATTTTATAACAATAACCATAACATATATTTGTTAAGTGCTTTATAATTTACAGAAGATTTTTTTAACTTTTAATTTACATTTCAGCTTATAGGTAAAGTCAACAGAAGCCACATTTTCATTTAAATTTTACCTGGAATCAACTTTTCTATGTGGTAGGAAGATGAAATTTCATTTTTCCTCTACTAAAATAAAATTATCTGTATGAAAATAAGCTTTCTGGGTTACTCATATGTCACTTCCAGAGTCATCATAAACTACCACTGTTCAAAGGGAGGCCTCTTTTCCCAACACTGAAACATGAACCCATCACTGAGGCTCTTAAGCACATTTTCTTTATTACTTTTTCTTTTAAAAAATTAAAAAAAATTTTTTTCAATTACAGTTAACATTCAATATTATTTTGTATTAGTTTCAAGTGTATAGCATAGTGGTTAGACATTTATATAATTTACAAGTGATCCCCCCGATAAGTCTAGTACCCAGATGGCATCATAACGTAGTTATTACAGTATTATTGACTATATTCTCTATGCTGTACTTCACATCCTCGCCCTTAAGCACATTTTAAAATCAACTTTAACAGCTCTAGAAGAGCAGACCAAATACCTTAAATAAAATGTCATCCAGTCTTAAGTTACACAATGTATTATAATTTAAAAATATCAGTAACAATCATTTTAGCAAATCTTCTGTTTCATTTAATCCTCATAACTGCTTTGGGAGGTAGGTTTTATTACCTTTTTTGCACATGAGGAGAAAGAGGCACAAGGAGCAATCTTAACAAACTTTCTCAAAGTCACAAACTAATAAGCTGAAATTCAAATCTAGCAAAAACCAATGTTTTAATTATTGCTAAATACCAAAATGTACTTTGTTTTACATCGGACATAACTGGGCTCCTAGTATGAATCAAAGAATCTTAGGAAATTACCTTTTCTGATCTCTTCATTTGTAAATGAGGGAGCCGAGGCCCAAAGGACTAGAATAAATTCTCCTTACTTCTAAAATAACTAGGGGAAAAGACAGGACTAACTTAGGCCTCTTCACTCTGCAACCAGTCATCTTCCCACTAAAGGCTCAGTATATTTCTCTTACTTTGTTTCAAACATCTGACTACAGAAGATAAAGTATATTTAATATTTAAGCATGTCTAGGTATAGGAACTCTTCCTTCTCTACAACTATCCCCTACTTTTCATTTTTCAAACACTACCATCACCACTCTTCTCCATAAAAAGGAAAGAAAATGTACGGGAACATTAAGATGGCGACAACAGTGCCTCAGATTTCGTTTAACAAGTTGAAAGGATAACCTCCAGCTCCCCATCGCAAACATCTTAGATCAGACAGAGGATCTATATAAAGTGTGAAAATAAATGTTATTCTTAATACTGTTTAAAAGCAGAACTTAAACACCATGGGAAAAGAAGTAATCAGGTTGTAAATATATACTGTAGTTTAATGTTATAATAATGTTTTGTGCCTTCCAAAGAATTTCACTAACATGCTGATTTCATGTCTCTTTTCTCATATGGTCTAGAATTTCTAGCTTGATACACATATATATCTGACTTATGAAAGGTAAATCATTTGCAGGGTACTCCAGATGTCCTTGCCACATGTGAGCACTCTAAAACATGCTGATTCCAGTTCTGAAGTTTTAAGCCAAAGAAATTTAAACATGGATTCATTCAAGGCCCAGGTGTAAACCACGCTTTATTTTTTATATGGAAACTTTGAAAAGAAATACTCACATTACATGTGACAACTGAAACATGTCTGGATATAGAGTTGAAAATATACATGTACATAGGGGAGAGAAAGAGACCCATTAGAGTAGCTGGCAACATTAGGGCCAGAGTGACACCTGGGAAAAATAAAAATAGCTCTAACCCCTTGGCTTGAATAAAAATCAGGAGCATAATTAAAGCCCTCAGTGTGGTGTCTAGCCTTCCTATAAACCCAGATTAAACCAATAATCTTGCAGTCAGATTTCAGTGTTAGTTAAGTGCTTTCATCAAATAAAGGCGTTACCAAGCAAGGTTGTGGAATGTCATTCATTGAAAGCTTCAAAATAACGTAAATTTTCATCTGCCTGAGACGAGAAGGGGCAAAGATGACCCCTCATAATTTCCTCTAGTGCTAAGAGACCAAGGTCAGACCAGACACTGCAAAAGCTCAGTAAACATTCTTTAATTGGTTTTCTGGGTGATGCCAGCAGCTGCAGGGGAAATGGGTGGCATGGGTCCTGGGGACCTCACCTCCTTCCTTACTGGGGTGCTGTGTGCCGCTGCAGTCGCGAACTGCTCCAAGGCCTGGCGCTGCTCCTCCGGCCCAGGCTGCGCCCCCGCGCGCCCCTGCGGACCGGCGGCCTCCTGGGGCTCAGCCTCCTGCTCGGGCTTGGATTCTGAGTCTGAGCCGGATTCGGTTGTCATGGTTGATTGTTCTGCAAGCAGAAAAAGGGAAAGTCCCATTACTCAGTGCAATTACCTTCCCTAGGCAAGAAAACTAGGATGCTACATGTGAAAGGCTGCAGAGCATCACAGTAGGAAAGATGGAGAAATGCTAACAATCAAAGCACAATCCTATTGCGCACAACTAATAGGTGACTTGTCAAATTTACTGTGAAGATGAGTGCCCGTAAATGGTTCAAAATTAACATTTAACTAGAAATAAAAGTTGATCTGTAATGATTACAAGTATTACTCATTAGAATTTTGCCACAGATGACTGTAAAATGACATTAAAGTAACTCCATAATAATTGTATAATAGATATATTTAATTTCAGGAAAATGAATTTGCTACTTCAGCTGAATATATATCTTAATCTCTGGGAAGGATGATCTAATAACGGAAGCGCATATTCTTTCTCAATCCTTTTTCTCTTTCCTATCTCTACACAGGGTCCCTGCTTGGCAGCTCTCAACCCCTGAATCTCTCCATTCTTACATGAACGAATGCCTTTCTTCTTTGATTTCTCATCATTCTGTTATCCCCTTTTGAATTAGCAACCATAACTACAACAGGGGCTTCTCCAGTGACATGGAATCTGTCCCTACTGGACAAACACTGGCCATGACTGGAGGAAAGCTAGGCAGAGTCACCCTCGCTCCCTCACAGGTTAATTCTCATAGGCGTCTTCCTGTCTTCCTTCTATGTTCCTTGAACGTTAAAAGGGAGATATCTCATAAGAAACAAGAGGTTTTAATATATAATAATCTTACAGCCTTCTAAAACATAACCACCATCTTCTAATTGCTTGCTAGTCAAGACACTTAAGTATTTTTTGCCTCCATTTCCACATTTGCTAACTGAGGGAGTTGAACATGGTCATATTTAAAGAACTTATTTTCTGCTATTACTCCCCCTCCACCTCCCATTAATAGACATGTAATTTTAAGGCAGTTTTTTGCTCTAAGCAGCAACAGGGCTGTTATATCAATGGTTACTATCTCATTTAAAGTAATTTCTTATCTTAGGTATGTATGTGAGAACTGTCTCAAAAAAAAAAAAAACCACAAAACTGAGTGTCATATAATTTCCATTCCTAATTCTAATTCTGTGGTAAAAATATGAGCAAATGGCTACTGTAATGTTTTAAGCATATCATACACCCATTAGCATAATGTAAAATTACTCAAAATAAAACTCCATTGTAAAACCACTTAGTTCCTTTCTTCACAATACACAATGGAATATGTTTAACGATTTGAAGAAGGGAACACTTATTACAAATACATATCAATATATGTTATAAACTAAATGTTATGTCTATGCTTCTATTTAGGGTTATTTTTTAACAATCACTAGTTATTCTTTCTGTTGAATAAAAGACATATAAACTTGACATGTGCTCGATTGCCCAAAGGCTATGTAAATATCAAGTCCAAATAAAACTAACACATTTTCTTTTTTCTTCTTACATTACATTTTAGATTTTCAAGCAAATCTTAAAAGTAAATATTATATTCTCTTTTGTATGGTTCTGCTGGAAAGTGGTAGGAGTCTAAAAAAAAAACACTGGAACCTACAATTGAATTCTACCTTTCAGAAGGGGAAGATTAGTTTCAATAATCAGTTCAATTCACCAAACTCTTATTGAGTACTAAATATATGTCAAGCACTGCTTATGGTTTAGAAAGAGATAAATATGTTGTAACGCCCATCCCCACCCCAAGGTGGTCAGAGTCTGTGGCAAAAATAGACTCTCTCCAGAATCCATTTTCTCCATCTTCTTTTTAGTAACTAAACTTTCAGTTTTTGCCGGTACTCCCCCACCCAGCTTGGGACCACAGTAAGATGTGGCCATGTGATTAAGTCTGGACCAAGACAACAGAGAAAATGTACTCAATGTTTAGGTCATCTTCATAAAGGCAAAACCACTTGCCCTAGATTTCCCTTTCCCATTAGCTGAAAAATAATGACCAAAGTGGTCGCCATAGACCCAGACACGGAGGCCCCAATTTCAGGAGGATGCCAGGGCCACCCTTTTCACCCTGGGTCCCTGGATGACCTCATGGAGCACAAGCAGAGCCCACCTACTGTGGATTGTTACATGAGGCAGAAATAAACTTCTTTCTGGTTTGAACCTCAGTATACTAGCCCACATTAATACACATTCTACAGACTAAAATCCTACAAAATACAGCCATTCGCTAGTGGTTTCCATCTTAGTAAAACAAAACAGCCTATCCTTGATCTCACTACCACAGTTCTCTGCTTTCCGCTCATAACTTCTCAAAAACATTTCTGTTGACCCTTACTGTCTTCTTCTTCCTCAGTTCCTCTTTCTCTGCAGCCACTCCTGTCTGACTCCACTGGGGTGGCTTTTGTGGTCAATGCAATTGACCATCAGCTCTTGTCTGTTCTTGACTCATCTGACCTTGTAGCAGCCCCAACATGATGATGAGACTTTCCTTGTCAACATGTTTCTGTCTCTTGGGATTCAGAATTCACCACGCTCTCCTGCTTTTCTCCTTTCTCTCTGGCTACTTTTTTTCATTCTCTTTTATAGGCTTATTCCTTATCCAACCTCTAAATGTGGGAATGTACTAGAAAACTCCATTTTAGGCCCTCTTCTCTCATTTCCTCTCCAGCTTATGATATCCTTTCCAGGGCTTTAAATACTTTCTATAAGCCATCAGTTCACATATTCATATCTCTAGTCCAAACCTCTGTTCCGATCTTTTAAAACTAGTATCCAACTGCCCACTTGACATTCCTCACAGCTATCTATTGATTTTTCTCTCCCAAATCTGTTCCTCTCCTCATCTTCCTTATCTCAAAAAATGGCAATGCTATTCCTTCAAACCAGAATTCCAGAAGTCACCCCTGACATTTTCCTTTCCCATATCTTCCTTATCTAATATAGGAAAGTTTTTCAAGCTATAAACTTTCTCAACGTATACATATATTCTTCCAAAATACAACTGACTCTTGAATAAAGCAGGGTCAGAGGCACCGAGCCCCTGCCATGGTCAAAAATCTGTACAGAACTTTTGACTTCCTAAAAACTTAACTACTAATAGCCTACCGTTGACCAGAAGCCTTACCAATAACAGAAACAATGGATTAATGCACATTTTGTATGCTATATGTATTATGTACTATAGTCTTACAATAAAGTGAGACAGAAAGTTATTATGAAAATCATAAGAAAAATACATTTATAGTACTGTATGTATTTATCAATACCATAAGTTTACATCATATATTTACGAGATGAATCATATCAGTAGCTACATCGATATTGTCTTATGATACAAAGCGCTGTAGATATTACACTTATTGCTAACACCAGACATCAAAAATGAAGTTATTGTGAAAAAGAAATTCATATTTACTTACAGATGTCATGATTAATGCACTGATAATGAAACAGCAACAATATGATTGCTTTATGGTAGCCTAGCATAGTCGATCTGATTGCTTCACGGTAGTAAGAAAATCTCCAAAAAACTCTCCAATATTTATTGAAATAAATATTTATTTATGCTATTCTTTTTGCTGAGAACATTTTTTCCTCTGCTTTTCACATGGCCAATTCCCCATTCCTCAAGTGTTGGCCAAGAGACAGGTGCCCTTTTTACACAGTTATTCTAATTGTGCCTCATTGTTTCCTTCCTAGAACTTACCAAATTTTTAATTATTCAACCCTCCTGTAACCTCCTTCCCTTATACTCAAGGGTGGGAATCGTGTGTGTTTATATCCCAACATACCCAGTATAGTAGTCCACCCTTATCTGCGAGGAATACCCAGTGGATGGCTGAAACTGCGCATAGTACCAAACCCTATATATACTATTTTTTTTTCCTACGCATGCATATCTATTATAAAGTTGAATTCATAAATTAGGCACAGTCAGAGATTAACAACAATAATAATAATATAGAATAATTACAACCATATACTGTAATAAAAGTTACGTGAATGTGGTCTCTCTCAAAATGTCTGATAACCAATCTAATAGCCAAGACAGCTACTAAGTGACTAATGGGCAGGGGGAGTATACAGCATGGAGACGCTGGGCAAAGGGATGATTCATGTCCTGAGCAGGATGGAGCAAGATGTCATCACACTACTCCGAACAGTGGCAATTTAAAACTTATAAACCGTTTACTTATGGAATTTTCCATTTAATACTTTCAGACTGTGGTTGACTGCAGGTAATTGAAACCAGAGAAAGCGAAACCGCAGGTAGGGGGCGACTACTATATCAACATCTTACCTACGACACAGTGGATATTTCAATAATTATTTGATGAATGACTAAACGATAAAATCAAACCCACTATCACATCTATGCATTTAGAAGTGAAAAGTGTAATAACTCTTCCTTATAGTCAATAATCATTTTAGAATCTCTCTTAAATGGATAAAGAGCAGGTATTTCTATGTTTTACGGAAAACAGAACTCAGTTACGACTTTCAGAATTGAAATCTCCGCACAAGGTAATAGACATCATTGGTCTGTTCACAGTAATGCTTTTATCAAAAACACAAAAAGAGAAAATATTCAGGTGGTTTAGAGACAAACAAAAAGTCACCGGATCATGAACTTAAAAAAACATCAATAAGTACTAGAAAAAGCCTATTTTAAAAGATGCTTAATTTTTCCTGGACTGCACAGTTCTTGCATATAAATCAGATCATTTTAAAAAATTTGGATACCTTCAGTATCTCCTATGACTATCATATTTAGGATCCTCTGTTATTATTATAGCAAATAATGGCTCTAACTTAATTAGATGTCTAAACTGTTACAGATGCAGAAAACCAGAATCATTTTTCGAACTATAAACATTTCATTTCATTTCACTTTAAAATCTATGTATAATTTTTATGGATATAATAAAATAATCAGCAGCAAATACATTGTCATGTGCAATCTGTGTGATCAACTTACATTTTTTTAGTCTCCTACTTCCTCTTCCATAAAACGCGGAGTTCAGACTAGAAGTTAGTGATGACTAAGTGAAATGGGTGTGGAGAAAGGGGCTGATGGTGGTGGAGGGAGCAGTGAAAGAACCTGCACCTCTTCTTTCAGTTTAAGCCAACAAGTCTGTCACCTCCTTCACCATCTTCTTCCAACTTCCTCACCACTTTTTAAACCTAGGGAATTTTTATATAAATGTAGTTGTAGTCTATACATCTCGTATCGATGCACTCTAAACTTTAAAAAGTTGTCGAATATGTGTTAAAATAGGAATCTTTGTAACACATAACATTAGTCCCTGGACTCACTATACTTGTCATGGAAGGACAAATTTAGTAAAGAAATACCCCAATTTTGAGTTTCAGTGTTATTATTCTAGTCATGAAACCATTTTGCACCTGCTTTTGTCTTTAATTCCATGACTTGTCCCTAAGGCAGAGAGCCAGCTATACAGAAGCTGAAAATGCAAAGTGGATACAGCCCAGCCACAAATCAGCTATTTAAATAATAAATACACCGTATAATACCTTACCTGTCACATATCACAAAAATCACAGAACCTCAAACCTCAAATAAACTCCTACGTCCTTGTCAAATATTTCCTAAGTATATTATTTTTTTCTGGCTATATGTATAATATAATGAATGAAAATCATTGCTGTTTTTTTACTAATTTTAATATAATAAAACTTTCATTTCTGTTGAGAGAAAGTAAAGTAATAAAACTTAAAAATGTAAGGCTTTGGAATTCTGGAATCTCACTAAAATCAATATTTAATTCCACATATCTGAAAGGGCATCAGTTCATATTGTACCTACGAGTGAAAGGTATTGACAGCCTAGATCAGTAAATTTAATTTCAAAACTTTTAAAAATAGTCTTTTTTCCTCCCCATATGCCAATATGCCAATATAAGCAAGCAATAAACTTTTTTTTTTAAACGGCAATCAAAATCATAAGCATCTAACTACAGTATTTCTAACTTTAACTCATCATTTTAATAATCTTAGTGTGCCCCTCCAATCTTGTACCCAATGCCAAAACATTTTTAAAACTGGATTTTCATAATTTTTGCATTACTTTGGTTTTTCTTTTTCTTATACTCATTCCGTGCTTTCTTGGATGACCCTTGACACTTCAAATCACACATTTTTCTTTCCAACTCATTAAAGATTATTATTTTCCAATGTTCCTTTCTCTTCTCCTGTTATCTTCACTTTGGACTAAACGTAGCTGTTGATTAATTCAGTCACTGAAAGTAAACACCATTACCCACAATCCCAAACAGAAAGTGATACAAAATGCTTGTTTAGTTTTGGCTCAAACCGTGCCCTTAATTTATACTAAATTTATCTTACTGTGTTTTGCTTAAGCTAAAAAGGTTTAGATGCCTATAAACTCCAAATGCAAAAAGCTAAAGTAAGAACACTCATTAAGTATGCTGGGATGATGGCAAGAGGAGTCCTTTATCTTTTCCAGAAACATAAATTGTGTTTCATTATGACTCTCTTAGGGATATATTTATTAAATGCTGCCAAAGGAAATGGTAATGAGCTTCAAAGGCAGCAGCATGCAGGTGTGAATGAAATCATATTCACGATTCACAATTCATTTCACCTACAAAAAATGGGCATTGTCATGCATCCCAGGCTTTTTTACTTTCCAGCTCAAATGTTTTGTTCCACAGAGGCAAAAAAAAGTCGGTTTATTCCCATCTTTTCCACTTTTAGAAGTAGCATCTCTAAAATCCCTATCTCCTAACTAAACGACTGCTAAATTAGCTTCTCTATTCAAATTTACCTACCTCTTTTGCCAATATGAAAATTCAGTGGTATTTTATTAAAAGACACAAACTTACGGCAGTGCAGGAAAATGCTTAATATGAATCTGTTGTTTATATGTAATACAGGATTCCTATGGAATAACAAAGCATTTTGTAAGAGAAAAACTCTTCTTACCATTTACCTACATATAGAAATGTAGGACTACAATGGAAAAATGTATAAAAAACAAGCTTTTTTCATTCTTATAGCTCAAATATAAACTTATAGAATAAGAGAAGCTAGTATACATACATACTCAGCTTAAGAATTTGAAACAACTAAATCCTATCCATTAGTTCACTAAAAATCATCAACTGCAAGCAAACTAAAAGACAGTAAAATCCTCTGGCCTCTCTACTGGACTCTATTTGCATTAAAAAAAGCGGGGTGGGGGGAGCCCTAGTATAATTCATCTTTAAAAAAAAACACACACACAAGAAATCAAATCAACCTACACTTGGTCTCCTGTTCTACCTTCTACAACCCCCATCTCTGCCTCTCCAGTACGGCCCCACCTCTTCACTATTCTTTAGAGCCATCGTTATGGAAAGAATTTTCTTCCCATGCTGTCACCACATCCTTCCTCTCACTCACTCTTCAGAGTACAGTTGACCCTTGAACAACATAGGTTTGAACTGCGTGAGTCCACCTATGCCCATATTTTTTAATTGACCCACACAGTTCAAACCTGAGTTGTTCAAGGGTCAACCAACTCTGCAGTTGGGAATCTGTGTATGCAGAGATCCCAGTGCAGCTGTAGGAGGGCTTCCTCTGCCCAGAGCGCCAGGACTCCCAAACCCTGGGTTGTCCAAAGGTCAAGTGCATCCTCCATTATTCTAGTAAACATTATTAAGGTTACCAGTGACCTCCCAACAAGCCGATAAACCCTATATGACGTCCCTTCTCATCTTTCATGTTCTCTGTGTTTCTGATGCTCTCTAGGTTTTCCTTCTACCTTTTCTGGCTACTCTTCTCATTTCCATTCGCTTCTTTATAGCCCATTTCTCCTACTCGATCTCTAAACTTTGCAGTTCTTTAGGAATCAGTCACATGTTTCAAATCCTCTTTATTGGAGAGCTCCGCCATTTCATTTCAAATATAATGACAGTTCTAAAACACGGATGCCTCAATTTGTGACCTCTCTGAGCTTTAGATCCATATACACATATACAACTCTACTTCTTACCTCTCTTACCTGGAGATCTCAGACACACCTAAAACTGAACATGTCCATCCACACCCTTGATCCCCCACCCCCATCCTCCAAGCCCCCCGGTCTGCTTCAGTCTTTCCATTTCAGTAGATGGACTTCCATCTGTCCAGCTGCTCATAATAGGATTGGGATGCCACCTCTCTTTTTATTCCCACTCAATCTGCTTCACATCTGTCAATTTCATCTCTGGAGTTGTGTTTAAAGAAAGAAGACAAAAGAATGTTCTAAACAGAGGTTACCAATCAGTTAAGAGCAGAACAGCATGAAAAATCACAATGCACTTTCTTGTGCGAGGACATGTGGTCTGCTGTGGCCAGAACATAAGGGAGTGATGAGAGATGATGAGACTAGCCAAGCAGAAGTCAAGTCTTGCAAGGTGGCCTCATATTCATTAAGGAGACTTCGTCTCATTATACAGAGACCACTCTGGCAGCCACAAGGATGACTATCATCAGAAAGGGTCAGCTGGACTCTTCCACTGTTTCAGCTCAAAATTAGACCAAACTAATACACCAAGCTGGCTTTGATGAGGCAGCAGTGGACCAGTTACTCCTCAAAGCACAAAATAGTGGGATTCAGGTCTAGGCATTATAAAACATCTTTGAAAACTTGACAATAAAGAGTTGAGACACTAAGTGTTTGTGACCATCAGACAATTCTGATTTTTAAAAATTAAGCTTATTGGCCATACTAAGTTCAAATCCTGTAAGCCTATACACCAAACCCTATCCAGCTGACTAACTTTTTAAGATTACAGAAGAAGAAGAAAGCTGGAGTATTTATGAAGATGACATAATTCAAAAATTACTTACAAAATGATCACTGTAAAACTGGCAGAGTATTTCCAAGACCTATTAGTATGGAGACAAAGATTTCATAACAGCATGGTACATCTACAATTCTGTGTGAGAATTTTAAACACTAAACAAGCCAAAAAATAACAAGGCCACAGTCTCCTGCTTCAAAGAATATGCATTTTAAGAGGTTACTCTGAGGAGCAACCAATCACAGTGCCCAGGGTAGAAGAACTAAGCTCACAGAAGGCCAGGAACTTTCAGCAAGTCTGCAGGGGGCAAGGAGGGCTTCCATGAAAATAATCTTTGTTTGATGAGAAAATAATCACATACCATTAGTCCCAAGTTAAATGACTAGTTGTAAGCTTTAGACGCAATTAAAAATCACAGACTACTTCAGGAAGACATAAAAGCAATCTGGAATAACTAAAAGCACAGGAGAGGCACCATGATGGGGCAGAGCCTTGATGGGGCAGGAGGGTGAGAATCAGCCGGGAGAGATTGGGTTCTGGCCTCAACTCTGCCACATGCTCTGTGATCTCAATGGAATTTGGCTTCCCTTTGCATTCTAAGATTCTGACATTTTAGGATTCCTGAGAATCAGAGACGTTGTATTAACAGCATGAAATCTAAAGAAATTCTGTCCTCCAAGAAAAGTGAAGATATATACTAACTGACCTTACTGACCTAAGGACATAAAGCAAGTAGGGCAGGCAATCAGCAGCATTCTACTGAGAAAGACCACCTCCCACTGCATGGGTAGCTAAAGGTTTCATTAACTATTTGAGTCTATTAAGGTCTTAATTCACTGAAACAATACTTTACCCAGATAATCCAAAAAAGCTGAAGGAAAGAATCTTAGTTTACTTAATACATTGGGAAAACCTGGTTTATTTTCAGTAAGCTGTTAGATTTTCTTTGTAAGTGCAAAATGTTTAGATCTGTGTGTATATGGAATTAATAAATGCAGTTTGGAAGAGAGATAAAGATAAATATGATGACTATGCAAGTGTCCACCTTATCAAATATGTATTCATATTTCAGAATTCACCTGGTGCCAAGTACCAGGGTATAAAATTCCTTATACTTTTGAAATATTTGTTCTCACAAATCCCCTAAATACATTTCAATAAACCAAGGAAGCAGCTGGCTCGCCCTCTAGAGGAAGGGGGACTTGCTTTAGTGAAGGATGTTAATAAAGTTCAATGACATCAGTAATAGTAAGAGAGGCAGGGT